TCCATCCATCCATCCATCCATCCATCCATCCATCCGTCCATTCATCCATCCATCCATCCTCTTCTGCTTCCGGGTCATGGGGGCAGCATCTTCACCAGGGAGGCACAGACATCAACAGCCACCTCTTCAACTCTTCTAGGACCCCACGGTGTTCACAGACCAACTGACTATTTATTAATTAATATCCTGATGCTGCTCAATAATCCAGGTAGAAAAATCTAAAAAGTTAAGTCTGGTCCTCTGGACATTCACAAAACAAACAATACAGTTTATAATAAATAAACAATAAATGTTTTTTGTTTGTTTGTTTTGTTGTTTGAATGTCCAGAGGACCAGACTTAATTTTTTTAGATTAATAAATAATACATTTATGTTTTTAAATTTAATGAAAGACAAATCTTTAAAATTTAAGGACAAACTTTAACCTAATTGTTTTCAAGTCTTATTGTAAAAGCAGTTTCAAAGATTACAGCACTGTGTGATGTTTTGTAATTTTAACATGAACCTTGTGCATATCTGTATATAATAAAAGTGAAGATATTTTAATACATCTTTATCGTAAAAATCAAAACTAAAATGTAAAACACATGGGTTTAAAGCAGCAGGAAGGCAGTAAGGTAGGATTATGAATCAGGTTTAAAAGTTACAGCTCCATCAGAGCATGACGTCTCTTCCACAACACCTTGAGACAAAACCTTCAGGGTGTTCTTCTTCTAATACGCTTAGTGGTGGCTAGTAAGTAGCTTGAGGGAGCACTACCGTCACCAGGTGGTAAGACCAGTTGGATTCTAGTCCCCGCCTACAGAGCCGGTCCAGAAATGTACATGGAAACACAACGAGACACGAGCCGATCTGAACCAACCCGAACTGACCTGATCCGCACCGTAACAGTGGAAAAGGGGCATAAATGAGGAGTAAATCAGGGGTGGTTGAATTGGTGAATAGATTAGTTGATTAATTGGTAGTATGTTTTCATATTAGACCACCAGGGGAAGTTGGGAGGTTCTGTTATTTATATACAACATGCAAACACATTAATGTTTAAATCAGTTTTATTTGCACAAACATTTTCAGCTGTGACAGGCTAAAAAATACCGGCAGCACTCTGTGCAAATAAACTGGGTATTGCATGATAGGAGGGAAACGAGGCACAGAGTTTTTTCTTCCTTTCCAGATGAACAAGATAGACCATGCCTGGGGGAGCCCTTGGAAGTCAAAGAGCGAAGATCAGGGTCTACAAACTAATCAACATTACTAGCTCAGAACGCTTTTCATGCATTAGAGCACCTTCTGCAATCATTAAATCATATATTTTTATCACTGACATAGTAAATATTCTAGATATTTCCATAATGTCATGCATCACATTTAGGAGAGTGTTAGAGTCATTGGCAAACTGCCGGGAGCCTATCTATAAACTTTTTATTAGCCATCTATAGGAGAGCCTTATTGTAAAGTGGTACCAAAACTACCACTGTGTACCTAAACACTAATTAGTTCAGTCATGATGCATGTACAGGTGTGAAGCACAAACTTTCAACAGAGCAGGTGCATTGGTGTGAATGTAGATTGTATGAAATACAGAAAACTCTTCTATAAAACAGTGCCTTCGTCCAGCAGTCACTGTGCAAGAGTCACGGTACACTTTGGACAGGTCACAAGTTCATGAAAGGGACAAAGAGACAAACGAGATAAACAAGCAGCCCTGATGTTAACTTACACCAAGGGACAATTTACCAGTTAACAATTATCGTAACATCACATTTTTGATCAATAGAAGGAAACTGGAGTACCCTGAGAAATCCCATGCATGCAGTAGGAGAACATGTAAACTCCACCTTGAAAGACCAGGAGGCGAACATGCATAATGTAGTTATTGCTGTGAGCCATCAATACTAAACATTGTATCACCATACCACCTAATAATCAAAGGTTCAAGGTTCTTCATTGTCATTTGTATCACATGTGATACATGAGGTGGAATGAAATTGTGTACTCAAGGTCCCAGTTACACCCCAAAATAGCAAAAATATAAAGAATAAAAAAGAAAGTGTATACAATTCATTCATTCAACCTTTATTTATACAGGTAAATCCCATTGAGCCTCGAGGACTCATTTACAAGAGAGATCTGATTTTAACAAAGAAAGATGACAACAATGGACAACAGCAACAACAATAAACAGTTGTAAAAAGTCATAGTACAGGTTTTTTTTAAAACAAATAGGATGGCTAAAAAAAGGTAACAAAAAAAAAACAGCTTGATTCTAAGGCAAATGTAGAAAACTAAAAAACAGGAACATGTCTGCATCGGTCCCTGCCAGGAGTCCAACAGATTCTTAAAGCCACTTAGAGAGGTCAAAGGTCGAGACCTTCAAATGTTTTTGTAAGATATTCCAGGAAACAGGAGCGGAGTAGGAGAAGGTCCTTTTGCCTAGTTCAGTCCTCACTGAGGGAACACTGCAGGTAATGATGTCCTGAGAGAGCACGCTGTAGCTGCACTCACAAAGAGACATGTAGGAGGAGATGTATGAAGGCAGCAGACCAAGAAGTGATTTAAAGATGAAAATGTACCAGTGAGAGAGTCTGCGTGAAGTTAATGATGTCCAGTTGACCAGTGAATACTGGGTGCAGTGGTGGGTATGATAATCACAGCCAGTTATGAATCTTAGTGCACCATGATAGACAGCATCCAACATCTGCAGAGTTCTTGTGATCCACAGTGTCAAAAGCTTTAGACAGGTCTAAGAAAAGTGCAGCACAATAATCCTTAGCATCCAGTGCTTCAACAACATCATTAAGAACCTTCAGTGAAGCAGTGGTTGTGCTGTGTTGTTTCCTGAAACCAGATTGATGTGGATGTAAGATGTTAAATGAGTCCAGGTCATTTTTGATTTGAGAGTTTATCAGTTTTTCTAGAACCTTGGCTAAAATGCAGAGTTTAGAGATTGGTCCATAGTTGTTCAGTGAGGTGGGGTCTCCTCCCTTCAGCAAAGGAAGAACAAAGGCTGTTTTCAAGTGTCTGGATGGAGTTTTGTCTTATGGAGAGATTGAAGATGTGGGTCACAGGGACTGTGATGATATGAGCAGCCAGCCTTAAGAAATAAGGTGGAAGTTCATCTGGACCTGCAGATTTTTTAGGGTCAAGATATTTTAACAGTTTATTGACCTCACTGACTGAGAATGGAGGACTGTCTCCAATCTGTTGGACTCCTGCTAGGAGTCCAACAGATTCTTAAAGACACTTGACCTCTCTAAGTGTCTTTAAGAATCTGTTGGACTCCTGGCAGGGTCCAATGCACACATGTTCCTGTTTTTAGTTTTCTACATATGTCTTGGAATCTAGCTGTTTTTTGTTTTGTTACCTTTTCCTTTTAGCCATCCTATTTGTTAAAAAAAAAAAACTGTAGTATGCTTTTTTTTTTATATAACTGTTTATTGTTGTTGCTGTTGTCCATTGTTGTCATCTTTCTTTGTTGAAATCAGGTCTCTCTTGTAAATGAGTCCTCGAGGCTCAATGGGATTTACCTGTAGAAATAAAGGTTGATTGATTGAAAAAGAGAAGCTGTGATTAACTGAGGATTGACTTGTAAGAGGGACTTGATTTGTAGAAGTTTGGTTATTAGGGGAAGTGGCTGAATTTCTGTTAGGAACTGTGTCAAATAAAGAACTAGAAGCAACAAAATGTTTTTTGAGACAGTTCAGGATCTCGTGCTTTTTTGACACAGGAACAGAGTTAATGAGAAGTTGTGATGGGAGGTCAGATGATTGCGGGATGCCTGAGAGAGATTTGATGGTTTTCTAGAATCTGTTGGGGTCATTTAGATTTTTGGAGGTCTGAGATAAGAAATGGTTGCATTTTGCTGCTTTGACAGCAGTTGTGCATTTATTCCTCTTCTGTCGAAAACTGTGACTTGTGAGGAGGAGGATAAAACCCCTCCATGGTTATCATTCTCAAATTAAATGAGCTTGTGATGCTTTTTTTTTTTTTTTTTGGTATGAAAGCTGGTTTAGGTCTCAGCACAGCTGAGCTGCCATCAGCTTGAATCCTGAGGCATGATGGGGCAGCAGAGAGCGCAGATAAATCGCTCACTCTCTTTGCTGATGTCAAAGCCAACAGCAGGGCTGTTTTAAGTGACAGGAATTTAAGTGAAACCTGATCTAAAGGCTCAAAAGGAGCTTTAGTCAGAGCACGCAGAACCATCGTTAGGTCCCACTGTGGAGTTAGTGGGCGTGACATTGGTCTGTGTCTCCGTACACCTTTCAGGAAATGCTTCATCAGCGGGTGATTAAAAACTGTTCTGTCACCGAAGCCCTCGTGACAGGAAGAAATAGCTGCAGCATAAGTCTTAATTGTGCTGAACACTAGTTTTCTGTTCATCCGCTGCTGCAGAAAGGGCAGCATGCCACCTAGTGGACATGAGATGGCCTCTACACCTTTCTCTGTGCACCAGTGCTGAAAAGCTGTCCACTTTGATATAAGTGCATAAAGGAACATTTTTGGCCACGGGCTGTGAGAGAAGGCGTCCACTCCTAACGGGGGGTCGTCTCGTGGGCTCAATGAGAACCATAATTGACACTGGGCATTCTCCTATGTGGCAGACAGATCCACTGCTGCTCAGCCGAACCTGCTCCAAATCTGAGAGATCAGCTTGGGATGGAGGCTCTAGTCTCTGTGGTGGGGACCGCCCCTCGACATGATATCCGCTCCCCTGTTCAGGACGCTGGGAATGTACACTGCTCTGATGGATAGTAGGTTTGTGTGTGCCCAACACAACAGCTGTTTCGTGATGCGTAACAGTTGGGCTGAGCGCACGCCTCCCTGACGGTTTATGTAAACTGACGTCACTTTGCTGTCTGTGTGGATCAAAACATGCTGATCACGCAGGGGTGCAAAATGCTGAGTCATGTTTCAGACCATGAAAACATTCTAGCACATTTATGTGAAGCGACATGTGGTCCAGCCACTGTGCTCTCACTGCCTGGGACAGACATATTCCTCCCAGCTTGACAGGAATGTGTCTGTGAAAACTGAGACATGTGACATAGGCCTGCTGATGGGAACTCCCTCTGACAAAATGAAGGGGTTTCCCCAGTGATTCAGATCGGTTCTCACGGAGGGGGGCACAAAGATAATCCGCCTCTTCTGGTGCACAGGATCTATGCGCAGGCGGGCAAACCATCTCTGAAGGCATCTCATGTAAGGTAGGCCCAGCGGAACTACGATGTTGGCCGATGACATCGTCCCAGGAGTTGCATGACAGGCAGACTGTCAATATGCTGCAGAGTTTGACATGGTGGAGCTGAGCTGATAGAGCTTCGGCTCTCAGCTGTGATAAACGGGCTCTTGTTGTGGCTGAGTTTAGCTCCACTTTCAGATAAACAATCATCTGGGACGGACGACTGGAACCTTTTTCCCAGTTTATAGAATATCCCAGGTTTAGCAGGTGTAACACTAGCGTTTTGGTCTGTGCGACTGCTTCCTATCTGGACCGAGCTAATAAGAGCAGATCGTCCAGATAAAAAGAATTCTCATTCCTTCCATGAGTAATGACTGCAGAGCCATCTCCACGCATTTCAAGAACGTGCGTGGGGTATTTCAGAATGATGTAAAATGTGAAAATATGCACTCTTCAGTTTATGGAGGTGAAAACCAGTCGTTCTGGTGAGGTTCTCCAGCAGCTGTTTGTCAGCATGTGGAATTGTCTCCCCATGATCGAATTGCTGAACATGAACAGGTCGAGAATGGGTTTCATCCCTCCGTTTTTCTTAGAACCAGGAAGTAGTGGGAGGAAAAAAAAATAATTTTCCTCTCCGTTGGGAACTCTGGAAATCACATTTTTTGTCAGAAATTCCTGAACTTCTGACTGGAGAGACGAGCTCTGTTCTGGAGAAGACAGAACCGTCTCTATAATCCCTCTAAACGGTGGGGTTGGGCTGTAAACTGCAGCGTGTAACCCATGCTGATCAGATGGTCCATCCATCTGTCCAGAGAACACACTCACTGCCACTCTGAGTAACGCTCGGAGAGCAGGCACGCATTTTGTGTTGTGTCATGTTTCTCATGAATGTCAACCAGTATAAAACCCTTACTGTCATCACCTGCACCGGAGATTCTCTGGGGGGAACCCAAGGGGGGCTCCGACAGAAAAAAGGCTCTATGTGTGCCTCTGTGCTGAGCCCAGGCTGCGGTCTCACATTAGAGCTGAAGTGAGCCGGCGTACACTGAGAGGAGGCGTGAGTGCTTTCTGAGTGAGACGCGGTTTCGGTGGAGGCTGCAGCTGTCGTGGAGAAAACACGTTTACTGCAATATAAGTGGGCAGAAAACAGCAGAAATTAAAAACGAGCTCTGGCTGAAAACGAGGGATTTTACCAAACACGGTCTGCTGAAAAAACATCATTTTAGCTGACATGGCAGACGAGTGTTTTGAGATATTTACTGAACTGTGGTGCCATTTAAAATGCTGTTTAGAGGTTACTGGCTCATTCTGTGTGGGGAATTTGTGAAGAGAGGCAGCTGTGAGATCAGCTGATCAGACAGTCTCAGATGAAACTTTACTTTCAGATATGTTTCTGTTTTATTTCAAAACATACATAGTCAAAAAAACACACATACCCCTCAAGGAGCTGTAACCTGGTGGAGGGGGCCAGCGGAGGAGCGGAACCTAAAGTCGCTGCCGCAGCTGTGGAGCACCTCTGCTGCTGTTGCTGGCTAAAGTGGTCCCTCCAGCAGCTGGAGGGGCGGGAGGAGGACTGTGATGTCACCAGATGGTGTACAGTCTTTGAGACCTCCTCGGACCTCTGCGATTTCTCAAGGATGGTCCTGAAGTTGGCCCCGAACAGCACTTCTGGGGTGATGGGCCCTCCAGCAGGTCTTTCTGCAGCCTCTCAGACAAAGGATGGTGAGAGGCGGAGCCAGGTGGTCCTCTGGATCATGGTCATCCGGGTGGCGATGCGGAACAGACAGACCGCAGAGGTGGCGCACATGTTTAACATGACATCAGCGGCTTTACAGAGAGAGCTCTTTGTCTCATCCAGCAGATCTGCATCCTCCAGCCTCTTTGAGATGCTGTAGGCCAGCAGAGCGATGTTGTTGTTCGCCGCGACCGCCTGGGATGTGCACTGGTGAGCTCGGTTGGAGAGCTTTGTCACCCTCTGGTCATGCTTTCCTGGAGGGATAGGTTGCTGGTCCATCCTGGAAGCTTTTGCCCCAAGCGCCTCCCCCAGGCTTGGCTCCAGTGGGGGGAACCGAGGGAAGAACACCGATAGGTAAAACCCTCCACTCTGGAGATGGAGGCGAAGGTGGAGACGGATGTCTTCAGCTTGCCGGGCCCAGCTGCACCCTCGTTCCAATGTGATGTCACAGCTGGACAGCGAGGCCAGATGGGATTAGGGCGACGAGCCGGGGCGGAGCCAAACCTTCTCGCCAGATCATCTGATCAGGGCGGAGGGAGGCGAGGGACGAAAAGTCCCTTGTGTTGGCAGCCTCCTGGATTATGCCGGGCAGCTCCGAGGGGAGGGCGCCGACGGCTGGGAGCGGTGTGGTCGCCCACATGGGAAGACCCAAGGTGGCTGAGCATCCGTTCGACCGCTCTTCTTCCATCACTATGCTCTCCAGGAGGGAAGGGGCAGCAAGGTTGTTTCCAGCATTGCCTTTCACGGAGGAATCATTTGATTCACTGTGTGACTCTGCGTCAAAGAAAGGCGGTGGCGTTGTCCCGCGCGTAGCATCCCACCACGGAAAAAACACTCAGCGGAGCTGCTGCTAACATCAACTTTTTCGTGGGAATCATCCGATTCACTGCAAGGAAAAAAACGTTAGAAAAGGCGATGGCATCGTCCAGCGGGTAGCGGCCCGCCAAGGAAAAACATTCCTTGGCACTTACCTTGAACAAGGCTGCTCATCTCAGATTCTCCTTGGGGAGGAAGAGCTCACTGGGACGGCAGGAGGTTGGCGTGGCGGAGACCCAGGCATCCTTAGCAAAAGTTGTGCCGGTCAAAGCTGGACATCTTTTCTTTCTTCGTTCTTCTGACAGTGCTAGCTAGCTGGCTGAGGAAAAAATGGGAGCCATTTACCTGGTCTCACCGTAATTTATATGGACCGGGGGTGAGGCCCACACAGCAGGTGGGCGTGGACTAAAGTTTTCAGTGCTGCGCGCAAAGGGATAAACCCACTAGCGATAGCCTTAAAGGGCGAAGCCTATACGAAATAGAACTTAATACAGTACAATATTATATTCTTCATTTATAATAATAATATTAATATATTAATACAACAGTAATATTACCAACTTAAAATTAGTCTTGTGATCGTATAGTGGATTAATAACAATAAAAAACAAAATATAAAAGCCTATAATTTTTTTTTTATGGAAACCAACAATAATAATTTTACCTGTCTGTCACTTTTATAGTTTAAAAAAAAAAGTCTAACACTATGTGCAACACACATGTGAACAACACAAAAATAAAACTGCAAAAATTATCACAGAACATTTGCATAACATTTCTAAATTGTACACAATAACGTACCAGCACAAAATAACACAGCAATTCAGTCGTTGTGGCTAGAGATCTTGTGTACAATTAGCATGAGCTCTGTTTTGCCTGGAAAACAGCACTACAGTTAGCTGCTGGCTTAGCTGACCGCATGGATATAAAATTGAGCCAAATACAATAAAATTCAACAGTAACTAACAGCTAAACATGGCAAAAACTAAACAATAAGCATAATACATAACACATGCTGGTGAAGATTCTCAGTCATCCAGGACATGATGAATTCAAAAAGCGTTCAATACAAAAACAACTGGACTTTATTTGTAACAGAAGACGTTTCGCTCCTCATCCGAGGAGCTTTCTCAATTCAAAGAGCAGAGAGTGAGAGATTCAGGTTATAAGGCTGAGTGAGATAAGACACACACACATATGTAGATTGGCAGTTCACACCTAAACAACATTAACAGTAGGAGTCTTTTGTTCCTCTAATTCTAATATAACCTGAATCTCTCACTCTCTGCTCTTTGAATTGAGAAAGCTCCTCGGATGAGGAGCGAAATGTCTTCTGTTACAAAT